TTTTTTTTTCAATTAAAACTTCCAAAACTCAAGTTTCGAAACATATTTCAGAAAACATTTGAAGTACAAAGAGGTGGTCGTGAGGGACGACCTGCCCGATCATTTTGACCCCACGAAAAAATGGCCCAAATGCAAGAGCCTGACTGAGGTCAGAGATCAGTCAAACTGTGGATCCTGTTGGGTAAGGACATGTCATTGTGTACAGAATATTATAGTATATAGTGCGGGCAGAAACTCGTGGCACAACCAATCTTTAATCATCTCTTTTTCCGGTAAATCAATGTCCAAAATACTTTGCACAGCAGTTTGTATAGTTTTGTCTTAACTTAATCATATTTTTCAACATCAGTATTGAAGCTAGATTAAGATACTCTTCTTTATAAACTCATATAAAATACTTTAAATCTCCGTCATGCGGAAAATGGGGTTGTTCACAGCACTTCCCACTTCTCGCACACATTTTGCAGACGCATGTGGCCTACGTCACAGCTCACGAATGACCGTTTTTAGTGGGATAACTTGTTACAAGAAATTAATTTATAGTGAATAGTTTTTTTTGCACTAATGATTCTCAAAACATGCGTTCAATGAGAAAATGTCTCGATTAGAAGAAAAAAACGGACATGCTTTTAAAAGCGATATTGCCCCAGCTGCAAACCTTTTAAAATCTGTAGAAATCACCCACTTGGATTTTTTATTAGTATTAATTTTTAAAGGAATTTTCTAGTAAACAGCTATCAGTTGTTTACACGAATAATGATCTGCTGAGACAAAGTGATACAAGTCATTTCATAAAAGCTGAAGAGTCTATGTTTGATAGTTTAGGAAAATATTTGAAAGAAAGTAGCTAGAACCTAGATGGCCGCTGGATCCGAACAGTAAAGTTATACGTGCCTCGAGCATAGTATTAAACGCCTAGGCAGACTTACAATTCAATTCAACATCCAACTTTGAGTACAAAAACAAACAAACAAACAAACAATAACCCCCCCCCCACAAAAAAGAAAGGGGGGGGGGGGGGCGGGGTAAAACCCCAACAACAACAGATAAGAAATAACAAGACTCTATACTCAAACCACCACAGTCGTAAAGTATATATATATAATTTTCATGTTTCTTCAGCGTTCACCGTCGTTTTGACCCAGCATATGTATCATCAGCCAACCACAGCCCCCGTAGGCAGATTGTCGTCAAGGTAACTGAAGTCGTTGACGGGCAGCTTGAAGATGCGGAAATTGCTGGTGGTAGGGTCGCTGAAATTCATTTGTCCGCTGCCAGCGAGAAAATGGGGGGAAAGAGAAAAACTGTTATCGGTGTGTCTGTCTGTCTGTCTGTCTGTCTGTCTGTCTGTCTGTCTGTCTGTCTGTCTGTCTGTCTGTCTGTCTGTCTGTCTGTCTGTCTGTTTTTCTCTCTCTCTCTCTCTCTCTCTCTCTCTCTCTCTGTTTTGTACGCACGCACGCAC